ACAATACAAACTATCCAAAATGTAATTACGACTAGTCAGAAACACATTGTTGATATCTACAATGTTAATTCCGGATAGGCAAACTTAGCTTTTAAATGTTAATGGGGCTTGCCATACAGGGACATGGGCTCAGAGAGAAGCTCACCATATTCAAACCAAAATATATGACTTCCTCTTGGTCCGAGCTAATGACTATGAATTAGAAGTTGTCCGGCTTGAGGAGTACAATGTATATACCGATTTTTGTAACTGTAGATAAAAATAACAACCCCACTTTTGTCAAAAGGTGGCGCTATTTAGTTCCTGCACCACGCCCGTTTCTGAAACTTTGCACGTCTACTGGCTGAAAATGTGATGTGTCTGTTGAGTTTCATGCAATTTCAAGCATGCTAAGAGTCTCAAAAGCATCCTAAAATAATTTCAAAGTTTGATACGTTGCCACAGCGATCATCGCGATCATCTCGGGCTTCATTCACTCCGGCACCGAAACAGCAACATGGACCATGGATCACACAGCGGAAGACACGAGCCAGGACCAGAGCTGCCTCTCCGCCCCTCCCGGTCTTCGAGATCTCCACCCGGAACCACTTCTCCCCTCTTCGCGAGCCGGAACGCGACGACGCCGTGATCATCGGCACATCCATGGTCCGTCATGTCCGCGCTACTACTTCGGGGAAAGGTAAGGTGCGCACTCACTGCTTTCCTGGTGCTCGTGTTCTTGATGTCGCTGCACAGGTTCCCGAGATCTTGAATGGTGACGAGCGTGTCGGAGCTGTTGTGCTGCACGCGGGAGTGAACGACATCAGGCTGCGGCAGACGGAGGTTCTCAAGAAGGACTACAGGAGCCTGATCGAGACAGTACGCGGCACAGCGCCTAAAGCAGCGATCATCGTGTCTGGACCGCTTCCCACGTACAGACAAGGACAGGAAAGGTTCAGTAGACTATTTGCATTAAATGAATGGTTAATGTCATTGTGTAATGAACAGAAGCGGCTCTTTGTAAATAATTGGCATTTGTTTTGGGAGAGACCCAGGATGTACCGTGCAGATGGACTCCATCCCAGCAGAATCGGAGCGGCTGTGCTGTCGGACAACATCTCCAAGACGTTATGCACCAGATGACTAGTAAGTCAAAGTCCAAATCACAGCCTTTGCGGTCCAAACTTAACTAATATGCATAGTGTGGAACATTATATAGGAACTGTGTCTATTCCTCGTTTAGTGAAGCCAAATAATAAATCTAGTGCAGGATCTAGCAAAAATCTTATTGTAATCAAACCAGAAAATCTAAATATCAGTAAACAAAAACAATTTCTAAAGCTAGGTCTTCTAAACATTAGATCGCTCACACCTAAGGCGGTTATTGTAAATTAAATGGTCACAGATAATAACTTTGATGTTCTGTGCCTTACTGAAACCTGGCTTAAACCAAATGAGTATTTCGGTCTAAACGAATCTACTCCGGCAGGATACTGTTATAAACATGAGCCTCGCCTGATCGGTCGTGGCGGCGGTGTTGCAACAATCTATAAAGATATTTTTAATATTACTCAGAAAACAGGTCACAGGTTTAATTCATTTGAAGTACTTGTGCTAAATGTTACGCTCTTAGATGTAAGAAGGAAATCCATATCTCTAGCCCTGGCTACTGTATATAGACCTCCAGGGCCATATGCTGAATTCCCAAAAGACTTTCTGTCAAATCTATTGGTGAATGTCGATAAAGCAATAATTGCTGGAGATTTTAACATACACGTAGATAATACAAATGATGCTTTAGGGGCTGCGTTTACAGACTTATTAAACTCCTTCGGGGTCAAACAAAACGTCAGTGGTCCCACTCACCGTCTAAATCATACACTAGATTTAATTATATCATATGGAACCGATCCAACTGATATAGATATTATACCGCAAAGCGATGATGTCACTGATCATTACATGGTGACTTGCATAATACGTACTGCTGAAATATGTCATGTTGCGCCACGTTATAGACCAGGCAGAACAATCCTTCCAACCACTATAGATCGATTCTCAAATAGCTTACCTGATCTATCTAAGCTGCTAAGTGAACCCAAACAAACAGATGAATTAGAGGAAATGACTAGCAGCTTAAGCACCATTTTTACTAGTACATTAGATATTGTTGCACCAATTAGATTAAAAAAGGTTAGAGAGAAAACTAAAGCACCATGGTACAACAGTGCTACGCATGCTATCAAGAGAGAAACTCGCAATTTAGAGTGTAAATGGAAACAAACTAATTTAGAGGTCTTTAGAATCGCGTGGAAAGACAGTATGTCACGTTATAAAAAGACACTAAAAACAGCCAGGGCTGAGCATCTCCGCAAACTAATCGAAAATAACCAAAATAATCCAAGGTTTTTATTTAACACCGTGGCTAGACTAACAAATAAACAGACATCACCAGAGCAAAATATACCGTTACAGTTTAGTAGTAATGATTATATGAATTACTTCAATGAGAAAATAGAAAGCATCCGAAACACAATTATAAATGTACAATCCTCTATGGTGTCTTATGATTCAGCTTCAATTATGGCCCCTCTAGAACAACTACACCGCTTTACAACGACAGGACAGGAGGAGCTAAATAAACTTATCATTGCTTCTAAACCAACAACTTGTTTATTAGATCCAATACCCACTAAACTACTGAAAGAACTATTACCTGTAGTGGAAGAGCCTCTCCTCAATATTATTAACTTGTCTTTATCTTTAGGCCATGTTCCAAAAATATTCAAGCTGGCAGTAATAAAACCTCTCATTAAGAAACCGCAATTAGATACAAATAACTTGGCAAATTACAGACCCATTTCAAATCTTCCATTTATGTCCAAAATACTAGAAAAAGTTGTGTCCGCTCAATTGTGCTCTTTTTTGCAAGAAAATGATATCTATGAAAAATTCCAGTCAGGATTCAGACCGCATCATAGTACAGAAACTGCGCTAGTTAAAATTACAAATGATTTACTTTTAGCTTCTGACCAAGGCTGTATCTCAATACTAGTCCTACTTGATCTTAAAGGAACACTCCGACTTTTTGGGACTTTAGCCTATTCACCTTACCCCCCAGAGTTAGATAAGTCCATACATACCTTTTTCATCTCCGTGCGTGCTATAAGTCTGTTTGACGCACCCACCGCTAGCCTAGCTTAGCACAAAGACTCGATGTGACTGGTTGCAGCTTTCATACTGATCCAAATGAGTGGCAAAATAACGCAAACGTTTTCCTATTTACATGTTGTGATTTGTATAGTCACATAATGTACAAATAACAAAGTCAAATGAGACACAGACATCTTTTAACCGTATAAAACCTGGGAACTATTCTCTGAAGGCGAAGCACTGCTACTTTGACGGCGTAATAACCGCATCACCGGAGACACGCCGTGGTGAGGAGCGGAGAGTTCGCTCGGTGTTTGGGTAATAGAGTCAGCAATTTATAAATAGTAAAAGCGTAGTTTAGAGTCATGGGTTTTCGCTCTATTGTAAATAGCTGCGACTGTAAACAGGGGAGGTAACCATGTTTCACAGAATTCCAACTAAAAACGCTGACTGGATGAAGAAATGGCTAACTTACTCTGGATATTTATCCAAACACACCTAAGATTATCAAGGGACATTATGTTTGCTCGGTACATTTCAATGAGGACGACTATTTTGAAAAAATGGAATTTGCCACACGGACCATAATGTGCTGAAGGATACGGCCATCCCATCGATAGCACAGACAGGACAAGTGGATCACCTGCGGCTGAGGTAAGTGTTCCGTTATGTTTTTAGATGACCTACTGTAACAGTGCCTTTAGCCAGATCTAATGTAACGTTAGTGAGACTATTATATGATTAGGGTATGAATATGTTTTTATCTTGATGCGGTGCGGACGCGCTTGGGAAAAAAAAAACGAGCGCGTTCACCGCGTTGAACTTGCACCCTGCGCGCGGCGCGCCTAGTAGCCTAAATTTGAAATAACCATGGAAATAACGAACTTGAGCGTGCAAAAGGGTACGATAGGCTGTGAGTTCATTGTGCAAAAACAATTTGTGCTATTACTTTCCCCTTATTCTATCCTATAGTAATGCAATACTGTATATTATATAGGCTACTGTTGAATACATTTGGTTCTGCTAATAAATTGCATTTAAAATATATTGATTCCTGTAATAATAATTATTTATTCATGTGATATTTATAAATCTGGGTGCGTTTTTGGTTGGAAATCAATGAAACATGGTACTGTATTACCTGGTCTCCCCTGTTTATTGTCACAGCTCATACAATAAAGCAAACACCCATGATAAACTATGCTTTTCTATCTAACGTTAGTAATTGCTGACTCTTTATTCCAACGCTGAGCGAAGCGAACTCTCTGCTCCTCGTCACGGTGCGTCTCAGGTGATTGTTATCACTCTGCCCAAGTAGCAGTGCTTCCCCTTCAGAAAATATAGTATTTATACGGTCAAAAGATGTCTGTGTCTCATATGGCCTTGATATTTGCACACTCTGTGACTATACAAACCACAACATGTAAATAGGAAAACGTTTGCGTTATTTTGTAACTCATTTGGATTAGTATGAAAGCTGCAACCATTCACATCCAGTCTTTGTGCTAAGCTAGGCTAGCGGTGGGTGCGTCAAACAGACTTATAGCACGCACGGAGATGAAAAAGGTATGTATGGACTTATCTAACTCTGGGGGGTAAGGTGAATAGGCTAAAGTCCCAAAAAGTCGGAGTGTTCCTTTAACGCTGCGTTCGACACTATATATCATAAAATACTTGTCAGAGATCAGCCAGGTTCCATCACCACATCATCACAGAGATCACCTTCACCTGAGTATTAATTATTCACGCACCTGCACGACATCAGACACTCTTCACAGGATGTATTTAAGCACTCGTCAGCCACAGTCACTTTGTCTGGTCTCGTTTGTAGATGTTCAGACTCACTTCGTGGCTATCTTACCTGCTATCCAGTGTTCTCTCCATTATCTCCAGCGATATCCCTGATCTCCAGCGATTACTCCATTCATCACTCCAAGCTCCTGCGATCTCCGTACGATCTCCAGCGATCTCTCCGTTCCTCTCCTAAAGCATCAGAGATCCTTCTATTACCTACACCATTATTCCTCATCACCAGTAAGGACAGTCGATTGGTATATCCATCATCCGCCATCCAGCACTGTCATCCATTCCCTCTGTGACTTATCTACTGTTATACCAATAAAGCTGGTTATCATCAATTCACCTGTGTACTCTGGAGTCTGTTCCGTAACAGAAGACCAGACCCTTTATAAAAGAACAGCTGTAATATGAGTTCCCCTGAATCATTCGAAGAGTTGGTGGACGTCTTCAAACATGCACTGTCTTCAGCCGCTTCCGCATAATCCGACATCGATCCTTCTTCGCCACACGCCACCGTCAGTCCCATAGCCACTCCAGCGCCCTTCTCTGGCAGGCGGAGGAGTGCGAGGGATTTCTACTACAGTGCTCACTGGCTTTGGAGATGCAGTCTCCGCGTTATCCCACAGAACGCGCGAAAATCGCGTATGTCATTTCCTTATTGAGGGGGCGAGCTCTGCATTGGGCTCAAACTATCTGGAATCAAGAGACTGCAGTCACACGTACATTCAACAACTTTATTGATCATTTCCGAGAGGTCTTCGGAATTCCAGATGGTGATTCAACCACGGGTGAGAAATTATATCATCTCAAATAAAATGCTGATTCAGTCTCCGATTACACTCTTAAGTTTCGAACCCTAGCAACAGCCAGTGGGTGGAACGAGCGTTCGCTCCTTACTACCTATCGGCAAGGTTTAAATCCAGGGCTACGACTACATCTCGCCGCCTACGACGACGCCATTGGTCTGGAAAGGTTCATGCATCTCGCCATCCGCACCGATCGTCGTATGCAACCATGCCTAGGAGATATGCAGAGTCAGTTTTCACCTCTTCCATCTCGTCAACCCGAACTAACCAGTTCTCAAGAACTAGTTCCCATGCAAGTTGACAGTACCCGTCTTTCACGTTCTGAGCGACAGAGGAGGATGACCCAGGGTCTCTGTTTGTATTGTGGCGATGCAGGACACCTCATTTCCGTCTGCCCCATTCGTCCACCACGTCCATGGGTGAGTGTAATCCAGAGCTTCCCCAGCAGTATGAAACCGCTTACTACTCAAGTAACCATTTCTACTTCCCATCTCTCGATTCCAGTCTACGCCCTTCTCGACTCCGGGTCAGCTGGCAACTTCATCTCCGGCTCCCTCTGCCGCCAGCTCAACCTCCCGAAGAGGCGCAATCCGGTCCAATACCAGGTTCAATCAATAATCGGTAAGCCACTCAACAAAAATAATGTACGTTACACCATAGGACCCCTCCAATTACAGGTTGGACTCCTGCACAGCGAATCCATTTCTCTCCTGGTTCTGGAGAACTCCACTGTTGATATCGTTCTGGGACTTCCATGGCTGGTACAACACAATCCATCACTTTCCTGGACCACCGGAGAAATCCTGAAGTGGGGTGATAACTGTTTTACGTGTCTGCCTCGACCCGTCACTCCTCTCTCCGTCCACTCCACATCCATCGAGAGTCCAGTAGAGAAACAGTCTCTTGAAATTCCTACCTGTTATGCTCACTTCAGCGATGTCTTCTGTCCTAGAAAAGCTTCATCTCTACCACCACACCGACCGTGGGATTGCGCCATAGATCTCCTGCCAGATGAACCAGTGCCCCACGGTAAAATCTATCCACTCTCTCTTCCGGAACAGAAGGCTATGGAAGAATACATTGCAGAAGCACTCCAACAAGGCTACATCCGACCTTCCACTTCCCCTGCTGCGTCTAGTTTTTTCTTTGTAGCTAAGAAGGACGGAGGCTTACGGCCCTGCATAGATTACAGAGCACTCAATAACATCACTGTCAAGTTCAGGTACCCACTTCCTCTGGTTCCAACAGCTCTTGAGCAACTTCGTGGGGCCACCGTGTTTACTAAATTGGACCTCCGCAGCGCTTATAACCTCGTCCGGATACGTGAGGGAGACGAGTGGAAGACCGCCTTCGTGACACCTACTGGCCACTATGAGTACTTGGTCATGCCGTATGGTTTAGTAAACGCCCCCTCCGTATTCCAGGATTTCATGCACGAGGTGCTCCGAGATTTCCTTCATCACTCCGTTATCGTTTACATAGATGATATTCTGATATACTCCCGGAGCCTGGCCGAACATTGCCATCACGTTGCGGAGGTCCTCCAACGTCTCCGAAAACACCAGCTCTTCCTCAAAGCTGAGAAATGTACTTTCCATCAACCATCCGTAAAGTTTCTCGGTTACTGGATTAGTAAGCATGGTATTCAGATGGACGAGGAGAAGGTAAATGCAGTCCGGGACTGGCCAACACCTACCACCATCAAGGAGTTACAACGCTTTCTGGGATTTTCTAACTTCTACCGCCGATTTATCACCAACTACAGTACCATCACGTCACCCCTAACAAACCTGCTCCGAAAGAAACCCAAGTCTCTGTCTTGGACACCTGCAGCCACCTTAGCTTTCCAAAGCTTAAAGGACTCCTTCACACAAGCACCACTCCTTACCCATCCAGATCCTACCAAGCCTTTCATCGTAGAGGTAGATGCCTCTACTACAGGGGTGGGAGCGGTGCTCTCACAGCAGCAGGGAAACCCGGCCCGTCTTCATCCATGCGCTTACTTCTCAAAGAAACTTTCCCCAGCGGAGATGAATTACGACATTGGCAATAGAGAACTACTAGCCATCAAGCTTGCTCTGGAAGAATGGAGACACTGGTTAGAGGGGGCCAAGGAACGATTCACAGTTCTCACTGATCATAAAAATCTTCAATATCTCCGATAGGCCAAACGTTTTAATCGCCGGCAGGCGAGATGGGCTTTGTTCTTCACTCGTTTTAACTTTGACATGTCATATCGTCCTGGTACAAAGAACCTCAAAGCAGATGCTTTATCTCGTCTCTACAATCCCGAGGAAAACACAGAGGATCCTGAACCCATCTTGCCCCAAAAGATTCTTCTGAGTCCCATTAAATGGTCTCTACATCAACAGATCACCTCCTCCAGTGTCTCTAACCCATCTCCGCCAGGATGTCCACCCAATCACATCTTTGTTCCTCGGTCACAACGCAATAACCTTATACACTCTGCACATTCGTCCGTGGGCACTGGTCATCCTGGGGCAAATCGCACCCTCTCACTGCTACAAGATCGCTTCTGGTGGCCCAACATGGCAAGGGATGTGAGAAGATTCGTCCAGGGATGCTCAGACTGTGCTATCACCAAAAACCCACGTCATCTTCCATCCGGCAAGCTCCTTCCATTGCCCATTCCCCGACGCCCCTGGTCACATCTAGGAGTTGATTTCGCTACTGACCTACCACCCTCAGAAGGTAATACCTGCATCTTTGTAATTGTTGATCGCTTTTCCAAGTCCTGCCGTCTCATCCCATTAAGAGGACTTCCTACTGCCCTGGAAACAGCCGAATTGCTGTTCAACCACGTGTTCCGATATTACGGAATTCCAGAGGATATTGTTTCAGACAGAGGGCCGCAGTTCATCTCCCAGGTTTGGAAAGCTTTCTTCAAACTCCTGGGGGTGGCCGTTAGCTTGTCGTCAGGTTACCATCCTCAGACCAATGGGCAAACGGAGAGAAAGATTCAGGAAATTGGACGCTTCCTGAGAACCTTCTGTCATGGTCATCAGAACTCCTGGCACCAATTCTTAGGCTGGGCCGAGTACGCACAGAACTCACTACGTCAGCCTGTTACTGGTCTCACTCCCTTCCAGTGCGTACTTGGTTACCAGCCTCCATTGTTTCCGTGGTCAGGAGAACCCTCTGATGTTCCGTCCGTTGACTATTGGTTCCGAGAGAGTGAGAGAGTCTGGGACGACGCCCATCATCAAATCCAGAGGGCGGTGCGCAGACAAAGGGTCCAGGCAGACACCCGAAGAGCTGAACCACCCACTTACCAGCCTGGACAGAAGGTATGGCTCTCTACAAGGGATATCAAGCTACGCCTGCCTTGCAAGAAGCTGAGTCCCAGATACATTGGTCCCTTCATCATCACACGGCAAATTAATCCAGTTTCTTACCAACTACAGTTACCCCCACACTACAGAATTCATCCTACCTTTCATGTATCACTTCTCAAGCCCTATTACTCACCTGTTCCTATTCCCTCAACAGAACCTGAACCTGTGGAAGAACCCCCCCTGCCATTGGTACTTGAGGATGGAACAGTCTACACTGTCAAGGAAATTTTGGACTCCCGACGTCGTGGCGGTCGTCTAGAGTATTTAGTGGACTGGGAAGGCTATGGACCTGAGGAACGTTCATGGACACCCAGGGAGGATATACTAGATCCGACCCTCCTCACCACTTTCCACGAGACTCACCCAGACCGCCCAGCACCCCGAGGAAGAGGTCGACCACCACGACGTCGGGGTCCACGGCCCTCAGGAGCGGGCCGTGGAGGGGGGGGTACTGTCAGAGATCAGCCAGGTTCCATCACCACATCATCACAGAGATCACCTTCACCTGAGTATTAATTATTCACACACCTGCACGACATCAGACACTCTTCACAGGATGTATTTAAGCACTCGTCAGCCACAGTCACTTTGTCTGGTCTCGTTTGTAGATGTTCAGACTCACTTCGTTGCTATCTTACCTGCTATCCAGCGTTCTCTCCATTATCTCCAGCGATATCCCTGATCTCCAGCGATTACTCCATTCATCACTCCAAGCTCCTGTGATCTCCGTACGATCTCCAGCGATCTCTCCGTTCCTCTCCTAAAGCATCAGAGATCCTTCTTTTACCTACACCATTATTCCTCATCACCAGTAAGGACAGTCGATTGGTATATCCATCATCCGCCATCCAGCACTGTCATCCATTCCCTCTGTGACTTATCTACTGTTATACCAATAAAGCTGGTTATCATCAATTCACCTGTGTACTCTGGAGTCTGTTCCGTAACAATACTCTTGGATCGACTACAAAACTACACTGGTGTTCAGGGACAGGCATTAAGCTGGTTTAGATCGTATCTATCAGACCGTTATCATTTTGTCTGTTTAAATGGGGAAAAATCAAAGATAACGTATGTAGACTATGGAGTACCGCAAGGATCGGTTTTAGGCCCTCTGCTATTCTCAATATATATGCTGCCACTTGGTAATATTATAAGAAAACATGGAATTAATTTCCACTGTTACGCTGACGACACTCAATTATATATTTCATCGCGACCAGATGAAAACACTAACTCATCTAAAATGACAGAGTGTCTCAAAGATATAAAATGCTGGATGACGCGGAATTTCCTGCTATTAAATTCAGATAAAACGGAGGTATTACTTATTGGTCCAAAAAACTACTCACAAAACGAATCGGTTACCTAACGTAACCTCGGTTCTCTCTAGATGAGGGAACGAGTATTGCGTAAGCTAGCTTACGCTACGGGAAAGATTCATCTTTGCTGAGAAGTTGAAGCCAAAAAATTATTCCATAATTTTGTAATCATTGTCAACGCAGTCTCTTCTGAGGCAGACCATGAGCGGGCTAGCTAGCGGCTCATTGGTTCGCTCAGAGAGAATGCACGAACCTATGGGAGAGCGGCGCTGAGTCCGCAGCCAATGAGCGGACGGCGCTCGCTTACTGCGTCACAGCCCGCCAAAAGGGGCGTGGCTACAGTGTATAAAGGTCGCTCTCCCAGCTCGTTCGTTGATTCTGTAGCATGAAGCGAAACGCTAGTGGCGCAAGCACGGCCGGGAACGCAATACTCGTTCCATCATCTAGAGAGAACCGAGGTTACGTTAGGTAACCGATTCGTTCTCTTACGAGAGGTTCTCTCGTATTGCGTAAGCTAGCTTACGCTACGGGAACACCTGGTCAACGCCGTGCGCGCTAAGTAACCACTAAGCATCCCAGGGGGAAAAAACCGGGGGAATCTATAAGTGGATGAAGATAATACGGCGGCCAGCATAGCGGCCGTTATCATCTAGTGCAAAAACGCCCAAAGGCGGCCGGCTAAGCGGGCCGTGATGTGTAGGCTAAAGCATAAGCACATAGGGGAACGCAAGGGGTGAGCCGGTTGTGATGGAACTCCCGATAGTGCGGCTTCTATAGGAGGGCTGTGAGTACTAGACCGCCAAAATTTTAGCCTGTAAGGCTGGAACATCCAAGTTATAAAATCTGACAAAAGTGGAGGGGGAGGCCCATCCCGCAGCCACACAAATGTCGTGAATGGAAATCCCGCAGGACCATGCCCACGATGAGGCCATGCCTCTGGTGGAATGAGCCCTGATGCCCAGAGGGCAAGGCAGGTCTTTAGCGGCATAAGCAGAGGCAATCGCGTCTACTATCCACCTGGATAGGGTCTGTTTCGAGGCGGCTAGTCCCTTGGTGCGGCCACCGAACGACACAAACAGCTGCTCCGAGCGTCTGAACGCGGCAACGCGTGTAGTGTACACTCTGATAGCCCGAACTGGGCAGAGGCGGTCAGCGTCACGTTCGCTATCGGATGCAGGCAGCGCCGATAGAGAGATCACTTGCGCCCTGAAAGGGGTACCAATCGCTTTTGGAACATAACCGTGTCTAGGCTTTAGAATGACTATGGAGTCATTCGGTCCAAACTCTAGGCACGCGGCGCTCGAAGACAGCGCGTGAATGTCCCCCACACGTTTTACTGAGGCGAGAGCCGTCAGAAGAACGGTTTTTAACGAGAGGTATTTTAGCTCCACGGACTCAAGTGGTTCAAACGGTGGGGCTTTCAGAGCTTCTAGAACTATAGAAAGATCCCAGACCGGCACCATAGGGGGGCGAGGGGGGTTCATCCTTCTGGCTCCCCTGAGGAAGCGGATGATTAGCTCGTCTTTGCCCAGAGACTGGGCGCGCCGGGGTTCAACGAACGCCGCGACGGCTGCCACGTAAACCTTAAGAGTGGATGGGGACCTGCCCTTATCCAGCATCTCCTGAAGGAACACTAGCAAAGACGAAACCTCGCACGTCCGTGGGTCCAAATTTTTGTCGGTGCACCATTTGGAGAACACAGACCATTTTGCAGCATAGAGCTTTTTGGTAGAATCCGCTCTGGCATGTTTGATCGTGTTCAAAACCCCTTCTGGCAATTCGACGCGTAGTCGTTGGTCACCCATGCATGAAGCGCCCAGCGCTGTGGATGGGGATGCCAGATCGAGCCGCGGGCTTGAGTGAGGAGATCTGCTCTGATTGGAATGGGCCACGGGGCTGTCTGTGACAGCCGCGTTAGCTCCGGGAACCAAATCTGATTCTCCCAGCGCGGGGCTATGAGGAGCACCGAGTGGCGTGAGTCCCTGATTCTCTGAATGACCTGCGGTAGCAGAGAAATCGGGGGAAAAGCATAGAGCGGGCGGCGGGGCCAATCCTGGGCTAGCGCGTCCTCGCTCTTTGAAAAGAATATTGGGCAGTGAGCGTTCTCTTCTGACGCGAAAAGATCTATCTCCGCTCTGCCGAATAGGCGCCACAGCGTATGGACTGTTTGAGAGTGCAGGGACCATTCTCCGGGGAGACCAGGTTCCTGGACAGCCTGTCTGGACCGTCGTTCAGATGGCCCGGTACGTGCTTCGCTCTGAGCGAGAGCAGGTGACTCTGGGACCACAATAGGATGCGGCGTGTCAGATGAAAGAGACTCTTGGATCTGACGCCGCCCTGACGGTTGATGTATGATACCACGGCCATATTGTCGGAGCGAATCAGGACGTGGTGACCGTGTATGCGCGGGAGGAAACACAGCAGCGCGTTCTCGACCGCGATCATTTCCAGACAGTTTATGTGTAGGGAACTCTCGTGGCTCGACCACTGGCCGGCGGCCGGTGAGCCCTCGCAAACCGCTCCCCAACCCGAGTTGGATGCGTCTGTCGAGATAACTTTCCGGCGAGAAAAAGTTCCCATGGTAACGCCCCTCTGAAACCACTCGCTTACTGACCATGGCTGCAGTGCAGTGATACATGTCTGAGTAATCTTGATCATCTGGCGGCCCGTCGTCCACTCGTGGTGGGATACGCGGCTCTTTAACCAGAGTTGAAGGGGGCGCATGTGCAGAAGACCCAGCTGTAGCACAGCGGAGGCTGAAGCCATATGACCCAGCATCCTCTGAAGCGATTTCAGGGATGTATGGGTACCCATCTGAAACGAGGCGGCTAGGCGCTGAACACGGCGCGCGCGCTGTGTGGATAAGCGAGCCGTCATAGTGATAGAGTTCAAATCTATTCCAAGGAACGAAATAGTTTGACTGGGCTGGAGAGAGCTCTTTGTCCAGTTGACAGAGAGTCCCAGCGCTTCCAGATGGTTGAGGAGAACTGTGCGGTGCGACAGCAGCTCCGTCTGGGAATCTGCTAGAATCAGCCAGTCGTCCAGATAATTCAGTATGCGCAGCCCCTGACTTCGCAGGGGGGCGAGCGCTGTATCCATGCACTTCGTGAACGTACGGGGTGCTAAGGATAGGCCGAACGGGAGAACGGCATACTGGTAAACTTGGCCCTCGAAGGCGAAACGTAGGAATGGCCTGTGATGAGGGTTTATCCCACGCTTCGTAGCATGCGGCTAGTGGTTGAATGGCGATTTCAGAGGGGGGACACGCGCACGGGCTCGTGGGCGTGCTTATGTTCTCTGCTACTGGAGCGGATAGTGCACGCTCCGTGAGAATGGGCTCTGTGAGAGACCCTGGGCATAAAGTGCTTGTGTGTGTACGTGAGCACATGCTTGTGGGCACATTTTTTACACTTGAGGCTTTTATGCTCTTTTTGTGAACTCTCTGGGTAGCCGTGAAAACGGCTTTTAGTCGCTCGCAAGCGGGCAGGGAAACCGGCTTGTTTGTGGCGGTAAACACTACTGCAGTCAGCGGTGAGACGGGGACTAACAGTGGGCGAAGCTTTGACGGCGGTCCGGCCGCAGCGGGAGAAAACCGTCTTTTTCTCAGCTGTGCTAGGCAGACTTCTGTTGATCGGGCTTCAGCGCGATCTTGGGTCGAGGCCCCCGGGGAGGAGGCTGTCTGCGGCGGCTGTCTGAGCGAGAGCGAGGGCGGCCGCCCTGTCTACGCTGGGGCTGCTGAGCTTGCTGAGGCGGGCGCTGCTGTGGGGTTCTGGCAGGCGGCTCGTGAGAGCGGCCCGTCGAAGAGCTCGAGCGGCGGGGCAGGAACAAGTTCATGGCCTGAGTTGCTTTTTGTACCTCGGAGAAGCGGTCAACGATGCCCGTGACGGCAGATCCGAAGAGCCCGGTAGGAGAAATAGGCGCGTTGAGGAACACGGCGCGTTCTGACTCTCCCATGTCGGTAAGCGTGAGCCATAAGTGTCTCTCGGCGACACAGAGGGCGGCCATGCATCTCCCCAGAGCTTGTGCGGCGGCTTTAGTGGCGCGAAGGGAAAGATCCGTAGCGCTTCTCAGATCCGAAAGGACGGGCAGGTGCCTCCCGCTGCTCGCCATTTCGCACAAGATGTCGCTCTGGAGCACCTGGAGGACAGACATCGAATGCAGCGCTGAAGCGGCCTGACCGGCGGCGGAATAGGCGCGGGCATGGAAGTTAGAGGTCGCTCTGCACGCTTTAGAGGGAAGCGTATGAGAAGACCGCCATCTAGCAGAGGGCGGGCAGAGATGAGCGGCGACCGAGTCCTCGACGGGCGGCATGGCAGTATAACCCTTCTCGGCGGCTCCGTCCACTGAGCGCATCGAAGCGGACACATCAGAGCGATTACGAGCCGAAAGAGGAGCATTCCAGGATTTCGTGAGCTCGCTGTGAAGCTCAGGCAGGAAT